TCTTCTAACCGGTTCGGTAGATTTGACGAACCGGTTCTACCGAATAGGTGCGAACTGGTAGGAACCCACCTCTGCTGTGAACCTTATCAATCCACTGCAACTTTTTTCCCCCACTGATTTAAACCCTTTTGAGCATGCGCTCAAAAGCCCGATTGGGTTTATTATACAGGGAGGGCTTATTTTCAGGGAAACGGTACTGTGACTCAGGGAGCGTGAGAGAAAAGGACTCGGCAGGTTGGAAGCGAGCAAGCAACAGTTTTGTTTTTTTCCTGCAACACATTTTTCAGACGATTAAACCCAATTCGAGAGACGTCGAGAGCTGCAGTTGGACTGGCATATGCCGTTCCGTCCAAGGGATGAAAAACTGAAGCGGAGCTTTTCGCTGCCGCCACTCGAAGCAAAGCAATGACATCACCACTCCGCTGCATACCTCTACTCCGCGGGAACCATTCCCTGCATGGAGAAATTGGGCCTTTTTTTTTCACCCAGTTACAGAACGTGGACGGGTGAGAAGCTGAGGAAGATAAGGAAACGGGGGCTAAGCTGCTTCCAACCCCAAGCCAGGATTACGATGATTAAAAACCTCTTTCTGTTCAGCAGCATCTTTTACAATGTGCCAGGTGTTTTACGGAAAAGGGGAGGCTGTGAGTCTTTGCACCCAAAGGTGCTTTTTTCAAGAGGCTTTCTGTTTTTTTCTTCAGCTCTGACTGGATGGAGGGGAGTGGAATGATTTATTCTCCTTGCAGACAGCTGGCCATTTGCATTCTTAAATTTAGGGCATCGTTGGGGCCACTTGGAGGTTTAGCTGTGTCCTCAGATAAGTGGGTCCTTCCACACCCATTTGCACCACTCAGGGGACTCTGAGGACACTGATAAACCTCCAAGTGGCCTCAATGACCCTCTAAAAGGATGCAAATGACCAGCTGTCTGCAAGGAGGATCAATCCTTCCATTCTCCACCATCCAGCCGGAACTGAAGAAGCTTCTTGGATGAGAAGTGAAACGTCTTCAGAGAAAAAAACCAGAAAGTCCAGTTTCCCCTTGAAAAAGCCCCTTTGGGACAACCATGACCTGGAGGACGGAGAATCTCCATAGACCAGGGGTTCCCAATCTTTTCTATATCCAGCACCTCTACAGCGCTTCTGATATATTCTCCCACCCCTTACAAAAGTAAATAATTATATGCATATAATTATGCATGTACACTATAATTTTGAAACATCTGAACCCAGGTTTCCACACCCCCTGGAATATCATCTCTCACCCTCGGTGTGGAACTCCTGCCATAGACATTTAAACAGGGCAATCTTTCAGTGGTTGGGTTCATACAACATGGGGATCCCACATGACTTCAACCCCACATCTAGCTCTGATCAAACAACATCATCTATTACCCCAACGGGGAACAGTAGATTGTGACGGCTGCTCGGCCCAGCATGACAGGAGGAGGCTGGATCTCACGACAAGGTTCCCCTCGCATGCTAGTCGTTGCTAGTGCTAGTGCTAGTTGTTCCTGACTCTAGGGGGCGGTGTTCATCTCTGTTTCAAAGCTGAAGAGCCAGCACTGTCCAAAGACGTCTCTGTGGTCATGTGGCCGGCATGACTAAATGCCGAAGGCGCACGGTGTTCCCTTCCCACCAAAGGTGGTCCCTATTTTTCTACTTGCATTTTTACATGCTTTCGAACTGCTAGGTTGGCAGAAGCTGGGACAAGGAATGGGAGCTCACTCCTTTACATGGCGCTAGGGATTCTAACCGCTGATCTGCCGACCTTTCCTCAGTGTTTTAGCCACTGAGCCACTGCGTCCCATAACATGCCAACCCATAAACCCATCTATTCCTTTTGAGCATCTCCTGCCATGGGGGGGAGGGGGGGCTATTTTCAATCTTGGAGCGTCAAAAGATGGGAAAGCCCCACTTGGCCCTCTTACCTTCGCTGCAAAACTTGCCCTGGAAGCCGGTGAGGCGGCAATCACACTGCACTTCGCCGTTGACCACAGTACAAATCCCACCGTTGACGCAGGGATTCTGCTTGGCACACAGGTATTCCATGTCGCTGCGGATGCCCTGGCTACCCAAGAGGGCGGGGGGCATGTCTCCCACTTTGAGGTTGGCCACCATCCCGCGGAAGGGCATCTCGTACTTGACCGTGCTGAGCGTCAGGGCCGACAAGCGGACATCCGGCGGGATGCCGCCCACAAAGAGATCGCTATCCACCGCCATGTCGCGCCGCTTCGACTTGACTTCGGCTACCCGGGCTTCGCCGTCCACCACCAGCATGGTCTCCCGGTAGTTGCGGGTCAAGAGCACCATGTGCCAGCGGTCGTCGTTGATGGGGGTCTCCAGGTGCAGGCTGGCCGGCTCCGCGCAGGAGATGGTGAAGCGCAAGCGGAAACGGCCCTCCAAGATCAAGAGTTCCAGGAAGTCACAGTTGCCCCCGTCATCCAGGTACAAGACCAGCGCGCGAGACACGTTGGTCTTGATGCTGAAGCTCAGCTCCCCAGAGGAACTGGCATCCCACCGGGCATAGCGAGCCCACTGCCCCGGCATGCCCCCAAACTCCAAAGCTGCTCCCCCGGCTCCGGGGCCCAGGACCAAGCCCACCAGCAACGCCAGAGGCACCAGCAAACAAACCGACTTCGCCATGGCAGGCCCACTGTCAAGCGGGGGCCCCCTCGGGGACGCCCTCAAATCCTCATGAGACGGGAGGAGAGCAAAATCCCACGGGGGGAAGGCCGGTCCAAGGGTTGCTCCTTAGACAAAAGAGCCGGTGAGGCCGGCAGGAGGAAGGGGGGAGGTTCTGCTTGCGTAGGGGAGGGCCACGGAAGTCCTTCGGACGGGTCCCCTTCCCACAAGGGAAGGAGCCTCTCACAGGCTGGCATACAGCATCTTCCTCCGCAGCCGTCTGGGGCAAGCCGAGCTGAGTTTCCACCCTCCCCAACGGAGAAGGCTGCTCCCTGCCGCCAGTAACTCCTCAAGACCCACTGGAGGGAAAGCCCTCCAGGTGCGCTCGGGGCTCAGCCTGGGATGCGCATCGTCAGACACTCGGATCTGGAAAGAGAATGAAAAAGAAGAGACAGTTTGTGAAAGGGAGGGAGAGAGAGAAAAGGATGCGCTGATATTTCAATCCGTTTGTTTACCACCGCCAGCCTTGTCTTTGGGTGGGGACACAGACAGGGGTGTCCTTCAGCCTCAATTGTGGCTCTTCCATTGTTTGCAGCCCCCACCCCCAAAAATTGAGCCTAGGCTCATGGCCCACCCAGGTCCCCCGTCGCTAGAAAAAGATTTCCAGGAGCTACTCAACTACATCTCCCATCCCACCGTTGCCCAATGCAAGTGGATGAGGCCAGAGAAAAGAAGGGCAAAATTTTAGAAGTTTGTCTCCTTTTCCCTCGGTTTTGTACCAGTGGTGGGTTTCCATTGTTTTTTTTTTACTACTGGTTTGCCTGTGCGCGCGTGCGACACTTCTGCACATGCACAGAAGAGTCCAGGCAGGTGGGCGGAGCCTCCCACTGTCGCTACTACCGTCCGATCTGGACCAAACCAAGAGCACCCCATCTCTGTTTTGTACAAATATTTATTTTATAGATTAAAAGTGAAAAGTGAGTGAAAGTGAAAGAGTCTCTTGAGATTCACACTCCTGAAACGACCTAACCAAGGAATTGTTCCCTGCAAACTCCCCTCCCCTTTTGCTCCTCTTTTATTCCCTATGGGAGGGGCCAATCACTGTCCACCTCCGGCTTTACTCCCAAGTCGATCCCTGTTCTTTAGCTGTTCTCTTCGTCTGGCAGGGCTGCGCAGGCGCACACTGGGAACAGGCTCCAGCTGTTCCTCTGCCTCACTGATGTCTGCCCACGAAGACAACTGATAACTGTCAGACGGCCCTGGCCCCCTCTCTGCCTCTGACACAGAGCCCTCCTCAGAGCCTTCCCCAGACTCCAGGACTGGCCCAGGTTCCCCTGAAAAGTGTTCGGAGACTACAATCAGTTCAGAATGCAGCCGTGCGAGCAATACTGGGTGTACCAAGGTACACCCACATTACACCTATCCTCCGCGAGCTGCACTGGCTCCCTATCGGCCTCTGAGCGCAATTCAAGGTGCTGATTATTACCTTTAAAGCCCTACATGGCCTAGGACCCGGATATCTATGAGACCTTCTTCTGCCACATACCTCCCAACGACCGATAAGATCGCACAGGGTGGGCCTTCTCCAGGTGCCATCAGCCAGACAATGTCGGCT